GTATAATATACGGGAGTTCTGGTGCATTTGTATACGAACTCCAGCATATTATGCTGGACCGGTATACTTTGCTAACTCCTGTAAAATTTGCGGGAGACTGGAGCACCAGTGCTCCAAACTCCAGTATATTATACTAGACAATTATACTTGCTGGAACTCCCGTAAAATTTGCGGTAGTTCCAGCATAGTTATCCTGGAACTCCCGTAAAATTTACGGGAGTTCCAGCATACTTATGCTGGAACTCCCGTAAAATTTGCGGGCGTATTTTTCCGAATTTTGAACAGTGTTTTCGCTCAGATTTAAAGTGGCTAAATTTCGATGACTTTGAAACTTGGCTATTTTTCAACGACCAGTGGTAAATCTGGCTATTTTTGAATTTCTCCCCTAAATTCGTGCCGGGTAAGGCCCCATTCGGGGGGTAGCGCTCCCTACCAAGGATTTTTTCGTATCAAGAACTCGAATTCGAGACCTCTGGTTAAGATAGGAGCAGCCTCATCCACTGCACCGCGTCCTTGATGGTATATTCATATCATCTTTTGGTATGGAATATGAATTACTTTCAAATATCGTAGATGACTCATTTAATGGAAGTTAAATGATAAAGAAAAACTTATGATCGAAACATTTATCAAATAATAATTATTGTCATAATAATTCGTGAAAAGATATTGAATTTTTGTTACTTGAAAAAGATTTTATTAGGACTACGGAGAAGGGTCAAAAATGTCCCTGAACTATTGAAAAATATCTAAAAGTATCCTTCATCCACCTATTGGGCTAAAAATACCCATTCATCTACCTCTTTGGTTCACTTATACCCTTTGACCATTAGGTCAATACTGAGTTTCAAAAATAATTATTTATTCCATGTGGCAACTTCTTGGTCAAAATTAAAACATCTAACCTATTAGAAAGACCCACTCATATCTACCCGTTTTTCGAACTAACCCACCTCAACACTAACCTGACCCGGATAAAAAGTTCAAAATATATAAAAAAGACGCCCGGCGTGGCAACATTACCAGTTTGTTCTTCCTAAGGACGTGGTGCTAGTAAAGAGCTTATATGAGTAAGTTCCCAAATAGGTGCTTTCGGATATTCTGCATTTTCAAGCATTGAGGAACTGGATCTTAACCTTTTTGGAACACTTGGAGAAAAATATCAATCTTCTTGGAGCTCACTTGATGTAGCGACGAGTTGGCAATGTTATACTTTGTAGATTTTGGAATCATATAACTTTCTATGTCACGGTTTTGATAGATTTTGGATCCTCTTTTTTTTAGTTGAATTTTTTGTTTGGGTCGGGTTAGTATTTGAAGCGGGTTAGTACGAAAAACTGGTAGATATGGGTGGGTCTTTCAAATGTGTTAGATGTTTTAATTTTGGCCAATAAAAAGTTGACACGTGAAATTTAAATAATTATTATTTTTAATTCAGCATTGACCTAACGGTCAAAGGGCATAAGTGAACCAAAAAGGTGGATGGAGGGGTATTTTTAGCCCAATAGGTGAATGGAGGATATTTTTAAACTTTTTTCAATAATTCAGGGACATTTTTGATCCTTTTCCATTTTTTTATATAAATATTATGTTCAATATAAAATTTATCGTAGTAAAATATTGATTCGCTCGTTCAAATACAATAGTGGAGATTTTAAAGAATGGTTTTTTTTTTTCTTTTTTTCTTTTTTTGGGTTTTTATCGCATTGGGGATAGGCTAATTTGAAACGCGTCGCATAAGGACAATTAAAGAGAAAATTGCTCAATAAAAGGATTTATTATTCTTTAAATAGGAGATTTTTCAGCAATATAATGAGTCACAAGAAGAGCAATAATCATTTCCTCATAAACATGACTTGATTGGTCAAATAAAGATGTAAAAGTTAGCTCATTTTCCATATTATAAAGCATTATTGTGGGTCCTTTTTGGATATTTATCCATTATGACGGCCATTTATAGTTTTTGATAATTATAGGTAAAGATTAGTGAACTTTATTTTTATAAATCAACATGATAACATGTACTGTAATTACAATTTTTTGTCTTTGACATCCCTCATGCAGTTAATTAAATGCAATTAATTTGAACCCCCCCCCCCCCCCCTTT